TAATTTAACAACTGACTCGTCATAGGACGATTGGCGTGAAAGATATAAAATAAACAGAACGAAATTACTCCTTCCCACGATCGAACGAGCATATCAATATGTTGACGAGCATACGTTCAAGATCTATTATTATATAATACATTTCAGACATCGTAAAATTATTCTCTTTCTTATTTTCATATGTACAGGGTGAACCGCATAAATTGGTCGTTCCTATTATTTTCGCTGTTAGTACCGATTAAAATTTTTTTTGTTTTTTTTTTTTTACGTTCTTGAGATTAATAAAATATATTTATTATTAATCAGTTTTGAAGGACCTCCAAGTTTTTGGCATTATGTTTTTTCTATGTCTTTTCTGAAATAAATTTTCAAAGACACCTTCAACTTCTTTGCGTAAAATTTTAGAGTTTTTTTCGCCTATTACCTAACAGACATTAAGAGAAATTCGACGAGCCTAATGAAAAGTAATCTTTTTTATCTAATGGTAATGTGTCTAATCATAAGCATCATAACTTACCTCAATTCACGGTATTATGTACTCAAAATGCCGACAGTTAGTTTCTGTACACTTGTGTAAATTGATGTTCTTTTGTGATTTTTTAAAATAATTTATCTGACTTATACACCACGATGTTGTTCTTATCAAAATGATCGATAGAAGTTAAAATAGAGTCGAAAAATTTTCCAAACGAAGAGAGAAAGTGAAATATTATAGAAAAGTAGAAACGTAGATTCTGTCACAATTGTCCTCTTCAACTAGGCTGTTGTCATACGTAATATCATGTATTTGAACTTTTCTGTAATAGATAATTGGTTTCAGACGTTAGCGTTCGCTTCCCTTAATGCTATTTCCTTTCCCTTCTACTTCTGCAACTTTTCTGTCGATTCCACTTGTCGAATACATATCGACGCTTGAACCTCCGAGTAACAAGTACTGTGCTTCCTTACATAAGTGATCGGCAATGTGCAAATTAAAGTGCACGTATACAACTTGCATACGTTTGCACGTCGATTGTGCAACCAGTCACTTTCGAATTCTAGTTCGACAGATCCTGGAACTTGTTGCCCTCGTCCTTTCCTTAATTTTATCGATTTAACACGAAGCATTGCGCAGTGAAGCGAGGATTGATGAAGTTTGAATGAGAATTCATCATGGATGCAAAGTGGTTACGCAAAATGGCGACGGATCATCGTTCCTCCGTGCATCACTCCTTTAATGATGTGATTGCCTGTTGGACATCTACTCAACCACGATGTCACGTAATATTTCACGAGCTTTATTCAAAAAAAACTTTACATTGTAAATCATAACCTCAAAGCTTTGGTGTAATAAAGTAACATTCTAACATCGTGTGTATCTTTTTATATCTACATATGTATTTATTATTTAAACAGATTTCTCATGAATATATTAAAGCAAAAGGCCTGAATTTTAATTCGACAAATACAAAATGAGGATTGTTTTAATTTACCGAAAATGTTGGTGTCTAACTTTAATAATCTGCGGTAATAGCTTGTAACGGAATAGTATTAAGTATACAGAACACGTATCGGTTCTTTCGAAACTGTAGAGGCGAAGTAGTAAAATCTGAAATATAGCAGACAAAGTGCCATTAAACGGTGAAATTCACTAGAAGCGATTCTTGAATTATGAAACGTGGTATTATCAATCCTTAAGTTATGGAACCTATTATACAACAGCAACGTCAGACATCACGTAACACAATAAATATAAGTTTTGAGTCATGGTAGCATCCCAGTGACAGCCTTTAAATCACAGAAGCCCTCAACTGCAGCTTTCAGTGCATACACATCTGCAACGATAGTTTTCGATTCATAGAACATTCTAATGACACCGTTCGAGTTACAAAACATTGTAGCGACAGCTCGTGGAATCCAGCAGCGATGAATCGTGTCATAAAACACGGCAACGTCATACTTCGTGTCATAAACGCGTATTTAGAATTTTAGGGTCATTCCCATTGAAATTCCTAACTCAGGAATTCAAGAACGCGCTTTCGCTGTCGTATTCTTCGAACAGAAGCATTTATCACAGAAATTCGCAAATAGACGTTTCTTTCGCACCAATTTTAAACGTGAAGAAACTTAATATTAATACAATAGATCATTGATTTGCAATGATAATTTTACGAGCCTCCTCTAGAAGAAAACGAGGAATTTCTGCTCTTTTCAGCACAAATAATCTATCAATGCTAACTTCAACCGCTCGCAATTGCTAAGCGTTTTACAAACTTTTGCGAAGCTCAGAACAAATTTCTGCGCTGATTGAATAACTTCGGTCCGTCGTAATTTACTTGTCACAAATTGCGAAAACAAATGTTACCGCTACGAATGAAATTTCAAGGTTCAAGCAACACAAATGCTCCGTGTGTTTCAACACGACCACCGTGTAACACTGTTTACGAGACTTTTTTTATCATCGATGTGCACATACGCGTGAATTCTGAAATATCTCACGTAGATCGAACAGCTTGCCAAGAATCCACTTTCGTCAGGCTGCTGGTGTGTTGAAGAAATTGGGAGTGAACTCTCAGGCTCTACGGAGCAAACGATTGCACTAGCTTGATGCGAGAAAGTTGCTTCACGTTCCTTGTATTCGGGTGAATCAGAATCATTACAGAGGTGCATCGTGTGCATCCCATTTGTCATAAAGGCCACTTCTCGCCAACTAGGTTTCGTAAACTGAAACAATAGTATTGTGATTTATTTATTTTTTGTTTTTTATAAATCATTCTCTTAAAATTTGTACACGCGCACGTTGCTGACGAGAAGTTCTACAAAAAGGGAAAGAATGTATAAAAAGAAGTTAAAAATGGAGTACAGTCTAGATGTGAAAGTAGTACTATCCTTCAAATGGATTAATTTTTCTCGTAATTAAATTTTAATTCCTATTGTAGATGAAACCATGCATGCATTCACTTTATGATTTCTTAGTTTAATTTTCTATAACAAGCCAGTCAAATCTTTCTACTTTAGAGAAGGAATAGTGTCAATGCTAAGTTCAAAGAAGGTGGAAAAAAAAAAAGTTGAACAATCACGAGTATCGTGAAAAATAAACGGAGATAAATGTGTTAAGTATACTTTTACACCAGTTCGATACTCGAACCATTCAAATTACGAGTGTTCGTTGAAATTTCACCTTGTACGCGAAATTTCATTGTCCCTGTACCGTTCCCACAGAATCTTATCCCCCATAATTCTGCATTAAACGTGTTATAAAGCACCTGACCCGTGGCATCGCAACCAGGGAATGTGTATATTCGCCCGCTAGGCGAACATTAAATATCGAAGAAGCTTCACCTACATCGAGAACTGTACGAAAGCAGCTGAAAACAATGCGATGCAAAGATTTCGCTTGTCCCGGGAACAGCATGGCGCACACAGATCAATGCACGGGACGCAATCGTAACGAGAGTGGCAAGTTCTACCATCGCACATCACCAGATGGAATCAGATAGAATCTGTAGATCGTACGTCGACCTCAGCGGGGCGCCTTCGAACCCCGAAGTTCTGCGAATCTGATGAATGATACGACTGGAAATCGAGCGAATAAACAAGCACCGAATCATGTACACAGCTACAAACGAAGAGGCTTGCGTCGAATCGTATTGCAGACCTGGATCGATTTATCCACGTTCTATTCCATTCATTGATGCTGCTGAAATGCCCGCCATCTCGAGAAACAAGGATAACAACGACAACGCGTGAGAAATAATAGCGATGGCGGACGATTAAGTTACGGAGAATCCGTGATCTCGCATTAAAACATTATGGATTAAGTGGCTCTTGCTATACCGATATCCGAGTATTCAAAATATTCGTTATAATCTGAACTTGATATCGAAATCCGTGTCTGAGTACTCCAGTATCCGAATTTTTATTCGATTTTTAGTACAATGTTTTTTTAATTACGAGATCGAATTAGCAACTAAACGAATAATCAAGTGAGACATCGATAGAAATTTCAATTACGCAGAAAATCGACAAAGTAATATACATCAGTTCATATCTTTCGTAATTTCGTTAAAAAATGAGGAAGTATTGCACAAAGATTTATTTTGATTTTATTTATTTTATAAAGTTGCCATGAAAGTTCCTCGTTAAAAGTTAAGTCAAAGCGACCTAATTTCGGCTTAAGAGTTATTTCTTGACCGCTTTTTATCTTGTAGAGAACTACGTGACACGGTACACTTTTCAGTAGCTAATCTTATTGATAATTCACCGTTCATGACATAAACAGTTGCGTCTTTCGTGTTTATTTTCATCCCATTTACCTTTGTTGCTTATTCGTCCTTTAAATTTCGGCATTTTTTATAAAACTATTTATATTATACAGAATCTTGGAAAGATATAAGCGGACAAACCATCATATTAGGAGAATGTACGATTGTCAAATTTGCAACAGATAAAAGTGTCCGGGGCTACCCGATGGACGTGATCCAATATTTTTATTAACCGTTTTTACAATAGCAAAAGAAAAAGAATAAAAGAAACTCAAGGATCTTAAACTACATTTAATTGTTAAAACATAAATCAATAAAACATAAAAGAATACTTACATTTACGTAGTTCAGAATAAGGTTTGATAAAATTTGATTGGAACAGGAATACCGCTTTTAATCGTAACAAAATTAAGTGTAACATCAGTATCACACGCACATCAGTATACACGCACTTCCCCTACCGTATTGAAGCCCACTGCAATGTATCTTACACTGTATTGTTGGTACAAGTGTACCGCATCACAGACTACTCAATAATCGATAGTTAAACTCACATTGACATACGAAGTGAACCAGTACGAAAAACCCGTTAATCATCGTATTTAACCCCATATATGGAAAACTATTATGTAATCTGTTTAACATAAATAATACACAACTGTTCTCAAGGTCGACTACAATCATAGAAATTCGTATAAAACAGATATCTCAATTCGACTTCGTCTTCATTTCAATTTCAAAGATCCTCCAGTAACAATGTCGCGTTTCACCTTAGCTCTCGTTTTCATTGCTGGCGTCTTCCTCGGCAGTAAGTGAGTTAAACATTTTTAAAAGGAAGAAAATTCAACGAGAACTATGTAAATCTGCGATATTGTTCTGGATTTTAATGTGAAACGAAATGAGAACCCATAGAAACTCTCTTCTTTTCTACACGAGCGAAATTTCACTTTGAACCACTGACAAAGATCAAATTTCATACTTTCATACGCTGTGCATATACATTGAAACAGAAATAAAGGACCTAAAAATTTCGTTTGTCTTGTATAAGTAAACCGATTGATTACTTGTAGATTTCATTTTTATAGCAACTTTCGCCGAGGGTGCCGTTTCGAAGGTGTCGAAGATGCTTATTGTCAGAGGCTCCACCGCCTTTCCTGGTCAATTCCCTTATCAAGTATCACTTAGATTGTACGGACAGCATTTCTGTGGTGGTATCCTGATCACCAAAAAACACGTCGTCACTGCTGCTCACTGTATCCACGGTACTGTATCCTTTCCATTCACTGGTTTCACTGTCGTAACAGGATCAGTTAGTCTTGCGAGCGGCGGTCATACCCACCTTGTTGCCGCGGCCACTTACCACCCTGCGTTCGAACCCGATATATCTGAATCCTTCAAAAATGACGTTGCTGTTGTCACCGTAAGTAAACGATTTTATGATCAATATTATAGAACTAAAACTTACTTCGAATGATATCGGTATATAAACCTTTTAAAGATTATTTATCAAATATTTCCCTACTATTATTGACATTTTTTAATATTCTTTGGTTTTATTTAATACGTCACTGTTTTGTCGCAAACGTAGATGAGCAATTTTCATTTTAATCAACCTGAAATGTTAGTATTAGTCAATAATACGAGAGATTTCCGCCACTGATACGTTTCAAACGCTTTTGTTACTTTGTTCTTTGCACATTTCTGAAATTTTTTTCTCTTAAATAAGATTACCGTGAATTCCGTCAATTATAGCGTATACGAAAGCACATTCGGTAAATTGATTTAAAAAGTAAAATTTGTAATCTGTTTACAATGCTACTTATAAAAATATTGATATTTCAATTATTTAGATAACATATTCTCGTGAGCGTATAAATGATAATATAAATGTACCTTTCTTATTTATAAATCTAATTTACACATATAGTAATGTACTTATAAATTAATAAACACCTAATTGTATTAATTTACAAATATGTACATATATGTATATATTATTTATTAATTAATAAATATAAATTATAGATTAAATAGTGTATTGTTAGTTTATAACTAATGTGCATATTTTGCTACTGATAAAGAATAATATCAATACATGTAATAATTTCAGCTTGCTGACGAAGTTAGTATTGATCAATACCAGAGCCCAATTTCCTTGGCCACTTCTGATCCACCAGTTGGTGCAGCACTCACAATGTCCGGTTGGGGACAGACCACCACCACTAAACGCACATTGCCTGAATACCTTCGCACAGCAACCGTGTACCTTTTGAGTAACGAAGTCTGTCAGGAATACATCTCACAATATCGCATCTATCCTGGACAAATGTGCACATTTAAAGAGGGGGGTGTCGGTGCTTGTTTGGTACGTAGTAAATTTACATTATACATTTCCCAAAATTAACGATTTAATATTACTTCATCAGATTAATGATGTTGTATTATTTCTTATGCGTGTAATTCATCATTTTACAAAAATTCGTTGAAAAATTCTTGAAATTCATAACTTTTTTCTAAAAACTTTCGTATAACTTGCAATGCATAGTGGTTCGAAACTTTTCACCAGTAATACACAGTAGTGCACGCATAAGCGTCCGCATTTTTGCACACTTAAGCGTCCGTCGCTATCCCCACCAATTCTTGGAAATGGGACTTCGGAGTGGAGTTCGACTCTTGAATGTGATCAACTGACACTTGACATATCGGTATCCCACTCAGACACATCTCCTCTCTTTTCTTTAGTTAAATTCGTCGTCAGAAGTCACCTCCCCGACTGACACTTGATATATCGGTATCCCACTCAGACACATCTCCTCTCTTTTCTTTAGTTAAATTCATCGTCAGAAGTCACCTCCCCACTTAACCCTTTGACTACGAAAGACGTAAATATACGCCCTCTACGTTTCATTTTTCTTACTGTAACACCTTATTGTAGGAACCCAGGAAAAATTTTGAGGGACTCAACGAGAATCGAACTCGTGAGAGACCTCAGGCTCTCTAAAACCGAGGCTTTACACACTACGCCAAGATCTCCCTCTCTATTTTTCCTGGTCGGTGTCTTATTTGGGTATGGAGACCCTAACACCTTATTGTAGGAACCCAAGAAAAATTTTGAGGAACTCAACGAGAATCGAACTCGTGAGAGACCTTAGTTTGGCAAAGTCGAGCCTATGCACACTACGCCAAGATCTCCCTCTCTATTTTTCCGGTCGGTTTCCTATTTGAGTATGAAGGCCCCAATACTATTGTACATTATTTAATCTTTTTATTTTGATCAATAACCATAACGATGTATGACAGAAATGCGAATATCGCGCCTTCTATTTTATATTGATGGTTCCGTACGAGAGTTCTCCGCAGTCAAAGGGTTAAGTGTGCACTATGTGCACTTATGTGTGCACTACTGTATATCGAAAGAATTTTTTCTCTGAACTTTGCTCCCGTATTACGCTGAGAGGAGAATAATTCGGATAAATATGCTTCGTTTTTTACCGTAGGGCGACAGTGGCGGTCCTCTTGTTTACGATGGCAGCCTTGTCGGTATTGTTTCCTGGGTTTTCCCATGTGCTGTTGGCTTACCTGATGCCTTCACTCGTGTCACTTCCTACGTTGACTTTATTACTCGTACAGTAGAGAGCACATAACTCGTGCAATATCAAATGTACAATACTCTGGTGTAAATAAAATAATTCACATCTACACAATCAGTTGATTAATTTGAACATCCGATGAAAAAGTTGTAGAATGTGAAATAAAATCGAATCGAACTCTGTTAAATCTACGATTTAACCTTAACTAAAAGTGAGGATATAACAGAACACTTGAAACTCTCGTATTACGATGAATAGTTAACCCTTTGACAGTCTAATAAAATTATGAATTACGGTAAAAAAGAATTTATATTTCACACGTATTTTTTTAATAATTACGTCGGGTATGATCATTTTTTAAAACAAGGGATATACAACCCTACGTCATACTTATGATAATAATATCTCGTCCCTTCTTAACTTTCTTCCTAAGAGTCTCTCTTGAGTGAAACAGTCGAACATTTAACTCTTTGCCCGAATCTCAAACGAGATAAACTGTCGAAGGGTTAATATGTATTTAGGTACATAACATGGACAACATCAAAAGCCAAATATATCGGATTTTTCAGGGAGGAATAAAAATAATTTTTTGAATTCAAACAAACATTACCATTAAACTCTCCAAAATTCTTCAACACTCGAGTAATCACTTGAACGATCAATTTACGAACGATTAGAAATCCGATACTTCATACTGCACGACCTAACAGGTAACTGTTAAAAGTGTTACATTACTATCGCATAATTTTTCATTTCATTCGTGGAATATAAGTGTCGTTAAATTAAATTGTTCAGTCCGTTCAATGGTTGTAGGATAAATTAACGAATGGACGTTTTTATCAGATATTCTGTTCTGATACGTTACCGGCGATAATGCTTAAGTTCGAGCATCGCGTGAGTCAATGATGGTTCCATAATGGGCCCCGCAGACGTGTGGGCCTATCCGGCTGACCCACACATTGTGCCATACCAAAGACGGCGAGGACAGTGGAGCAGTCTTGATGACGTCATCGTTCAGCGACAACAGTAATTAATCTCATTATGTTCTTGCACTGTTCGGAACGGGTACGCTTTATACGTACACAAAAATTGGACAAATTAGCAATAAGTTTAACGTGAAAGCTTAGGATAAAATACTGTTAATATTAAAAAGGATTGTCCAAAAATACGCAAACTTCCTTTCTCCGTAAATTCATACCATTAGGATATTGTAACATGTTTTCCGCATTTTTAGCGGAAAGACGAGATATAAAACAAATCATTCCAGTATTAAAATTTAAAAAGGAAGATTTAGAAAGGAAGACACTACAAGAAAGAAGATTACCAGGCTAGTCACTCAAAGACCAAACAAATGCACAAGAGGTGTCGGCTTAAAGATTGCGAATATCATCGTTCTTCATTTATTCAATATACAAGGTATAGTGTTACAAAGGCAATATACAGGGTGTCCAATTTTCATCTATAAACACGAATTACTTGCAAAAACTATCCGCTGTACGTGTCACGGGCCTAACTGTCAAATGGTTAACCCTTTTCCGTGCCGGACCAATTTTCGATGACTTGCCGTTCACGCGACGTAGGTCGTATGCGCCCCACATTGTCGAGACTAACAGTTTCGCTTTTCACCCTATATGTCTTCTAATATTTATAAGATGGCCAAAATCATCGTTATCAAGAAAGAGGTGTAACGTTTAAGATACAAGGAAAAATTATCGCCGTAATCGCACGGTTTAAGTCAACGGAAGGAAACGGCCTGAACGGAAAGTCCAGAAGTGAGGTGTGTGCAAGACCCACGCGGCATGGAATGTGTCGATAGGGTGAGACTCCTCTCGAGTCACCCTGTACATTTGTCCTATCTCGAAATATTCTGCTCCCTTTTGGCATTGATTTACGCGAACCGCGACCCTGAGTAGAATACCCTTTATTATATAGCGGAGGCGCCACGGGGTTGACTTCCACCCTCCTCAACCCCTCTGTCCCACGTCGACAACCCCGTCGCACAGGCGCGCACTCGTCGCGTGACGTAGTCGGGGAAAGTATTGCCAAGGGTAGCCTCGTGCTTGGAATGCGGGTTAGTGGGGCACGGGCGTCGCGACGCCGAGCGTCGACGCCGCGTTCGTACTAAACCCGCTCGATCTCCCGGGCTCCTCTTCTGTCAGCCAGGCTTTTACGTAAGGAGCCACGTTGACACGAACACGAATTAGTTAGTGTGGTGTAAGGCGGTGTGTTGAAAGGGTGGAATCTTAATGGTTACATGAAATCACCGATGGGATACTGGGGTTGCGCGAAGAGATGGCTATGATAAGATGTTGCCTCGAGACGGAGATGCCTGACGTCTTCGAGTCTCTCGTGAGGAAGTGCACTGACCCTGGCTGTGAGTAACGAAATCAGTATAATTTATTGCGATAATTCCGTACGAACCTGGTGAAGTAAGAATTGTTTACCGACGCGTCTTTTGGGGGACGTTTCGTGGGTGTAATTGAATTTTGTGATTTTGAAATTGGAGGATTTTGGTTCGTTTGAAATCTGTTTCGTCGCGAATACTGGATCTTTCGATCGTGCTTGATCAGATATGTGATTAAGAATTTTCTTTTGGAATTTTTTGTACATGTCTGTGGAGTATGTTTTTTTTATAGGATGTAGTAATTTTTTGTGCATATGAATAGTATGTAAAATAATATATAAACTGAGCATTAAGAAGGAGCTGGTGAATAAATGACACTGTATATGAAGTGTATGATCGAATGAAGTTAAACGAAGTGTAGATTCAATTTTAAGTTCGATTGTAGTTCCAGTTTTAATGTAAAATATGCTGTATTTTTCAAAATTACTCGAATTACTATTACCAGTGATTTGTAAGGTCATTATTAATAATAAAATTATTTCTTTTTATTACATAAAATAAACGTAGTATTGCATTATTTCCTAGTAACTGGAACACAGTGCCTTGCTAATGTGTTATATTAAACTCAGAAATTAATTAGTAATGAATTACTAATCGATACAATCAATTACTAATAATCGTAAAATCATTCAACTAATTACATTTCACACGATAGGGAGGATATTTTATTTATATTCAGAAAATAGTTCACGTAACGCTGTACCATTTTAGCGAAATTAAACTTTCATCCGCTTTTTGCGAGTGAACAGAGAGAACTGATTAAAGTTGATGGACACGTGCTTTCACATGACTCTTATCGAGATTCGCAACAGTTGCTACATGTGTACTTGACACATTTGTATCTGCATTTATTTCTCTTCCATAGGTATATTTAATAATTATATAAAATTGTACGTGACGAATGTGAAAGAATGTACACGTGAATTGGTACGATCGCGTTTCAACGGAAATTTCGAAATAATTCAATCCGATCAGCTGTAAAATTTTCGCCATATTGGAATATTTCTTGTTTACAGTGAAAATGGTGACACAAATTTGTAAGTGATTCGATTTATCGACTGCAATGTACAAGGTGAAAAACAGGGCAAAAACAAGCCACTTAATTAGGTTTTCATATTCGCTACTTTAGACGAACCTTTTATTGTAAATGGTTTATACAAATGAATATTAAATTTAGGACGAAAATTTTTAACTTCATTCTCGGAAAATAAAATTACAATAATTCCCGAGATGTTTGGAAATAATTCAGAATTGTTGCTATCAACGTTAAATTATACAAAATTAATATTAAAAGCAACAACATTGATAAAAATTAAATACCACGATGAAAACTAATTTTTCAATTACCAGCTAACCTAGAATTTTTATCGTTGCACTTCATTTACCATTATTACCATTATTATAAAATTCTAATTTTCTTATATTCTGAAAATAACATCGACCAACATATCGTGACATCTGTAATACGACTGAAATAAGTTTTCACGTATCGAGTAGCGATAAAACGATTCCCATGCAGCCACCATTTATGAACGCGCGACAGACTCATATTGATTTTCGAAACCTGGTGTCAACATCCGGAATATCTTCCCTTCCTGAATCACTTCAGTTGACAGGCGTGCTAACGTTTCCCTTGAAACAGTTTCTCATTTGCTACGCTATACGTGTAGCCCATTACAACGGAAAAGAATACAGTCCATTCTGTTTATATTTGTGTGCACGGCGCAGTGATTGTGTGGGATAACAAGTGGAAAATCAATCTTCTTACGTGAAAGACCACGCGATATTTTATGCAGCATTAAGTGTATAACGAGTTCACTGTAAAATTGTGCTAGTATTTAAATGTATATTTGTTATTTGATGTGAATACATTTAAATTTCCCGCTCATTGTAGTCAATTAAAGTGAGAATTAAACTTCTCTGTGTAATCACTTTGTTCAGGAAGTGTGAAGTTTTAGTTTATAATTGTGAATTGTAAATTATATCTTATTTAAAAAAATCTTAAGTGTAATGATACCTTGATGTGACATATAAAAATTTAATACGTAAATGAAGCATGCAGACAATGCATGGAGCGTTGATTGAAATACGAGTGCTGGCACAATAGTTGCTCGTCATCGTAAAAATGGAACAAATTTGCAGAAGGTAAGGTAAACAGGAAGTATGCTTGTATTTAAATTCTTGACAGTATTGAAATGATTAAACGCGACAACGTTGAAGCAATTTTCATTTTTAAGGAAATATTTCGTAGTTTTTGTTTTTATTTTACGAATTTCAGTATGAATAAAGTATAGATAAGTATTTACTATTAATTACGTATTGAGATATTAGGGAATTTATATTATAAAGTAAAGAAATATAACAAGATTTGAAATGATAATAGAATGATGTTACAATATCATAATTAAACGATTGTAATCATCAAATCTTAAAACGTACAAAAAATGATTTATAGCGGAAATACGAATTGTGCCGCCATCTGTTAACTATTTTCTGCACTTGCAGTGTATTGATCTTTCTGAATCGTCAAAAACGAAATAGGTATTACCGACGTTACTTTCTTCACGACAAAATTTTGTCACCTAAGATGTGTGTAAATTCGAGTATCGTACAGTTGGAAATATTTACTTATTTATAACTTAACTCATAT